AATAATCGTTTTAGACAACAAAGCCAATTGTAAGATAGTAATAAAACATTCGAAATAGTTTGAACGTTTGTGAAAATATGTCCATTGAGAGAAAAAAAATAGATATCGTGTAGAGTTCTAGGGCCAGTGTTTATTTCAGATTCAGTATAGTCGATAACGTATAAATTTTCTATTTTGAGCAAGATTTATTGCCAAAAGTTTGAGAAAATTTTGCAAAAGATATGCCGAAAAAATATCTCAAGTGGTAAATAATATTTTTGTGAAAAATTTTCTCAAACTTTTGACGATATATTGAACTAGATATGAAACTGCACCGAGATTATTGACTATCAAGAATCTAAAAATGCACTCGTCATCACCAATACAATGGATAGAATGCTTGTTTATAATATGAATGTCTAACGTCGTAAGTCAAGAGATAGAATCTAACCGAAAATTTTAACAAACACATTAGGAAATATTATAAGATATCATAACAAGATAAAGATGAGAATGTTCTGAAAATAAAAAAATGACAACAATTAAAAAAAATATAGATTTACTTCCTTCATTTGATGAGAGTTTTTTTTCTTATATACAACGCACAAATATTCGAACGATTAAAAAAAATGTTTTATTGCTTTCTTTTTTTTAAATATATTTTAATCACTTTTTGCTAACGTTTTATATAACTCTTAATGTTGGATGTGATTGATCTAATGCTCGATCAAATTCATCATCCATATCTTCATCGACAAGTGAATAATGACTAGTAGGTGAAGTATATGGTGCTGTCTGTATTCCTCCTGCATTAATTGATTGATCTCCACTTTCTGGTATATTTTTATTTGTCATATTACTAATTGTTGGTGGATTTATATTCCGTTTTCTTCTTCTTAAACAACACCATAGACATTTTTCTAAGAAAAATTCGAGCCAATGAGGATCAGTAATAGCAATAATTAACAATTGTATAAGAAAAAAACTTGAACGAAGAATTTGTGATATAACAAATTTTGTATATGTTTGATTAACATTATCTAAATAATATAAATAAATATCGTAAAAAACAATTGTAAATAATAATGATGTTACTCTCAATGTCCATAATTTTTGTATATTTGGAATTTGATTTGTGCCCTTTAATATATAAAAATAATACAATACAAAACCGAGAAGAATTGTTGTTGGTACAAATAGAATAAAATAAAATATTGAACGTGCACGTTGTAACATTTCTAATTTTTCATAATTATATGTACAATAATAATGTGTAGTGTTAGTAGGTAAATTCATTTCATCACGACCAAGAAACGGATTGGCTAAGGTAAATGTCAACATTGTAAGTAACCATGTGAATAGAGTATAAAGATGTAATACTCGAATATGTAATAGTATTGAAAATTTTTGTTTTAAATG